ATCCCTCTTCTATCCGCCTCCCACTCTCTCCCTATTTATTTCAAAACCCCCTTCCCCTCCCCCTTTTCTGATGAAGGGTCTAGGCCCGAAACGTCAGCCTCTCTGCTCCTATGATGCTGCTTGGCCTGCTGTGTTCATCCAGCCCTGCACCTTGTTGTCTTGGATTCTCCAGCATCTGCAGTTCCTACTATCTCTGATTCGGCATCCTGTAGCATCCTGGTTGTGGTGTGGAAGATCTGTGCTTCAGACTAGCCAATACTCTTAGCTCAGCTGTTCCTGAATAGTTACACTGATCATCTATTCAATGGTACCAAAAACCACCCAAGCATGCTCTACCCATAAAATGCAGGACAAAACCAATCTGGAGATCTTTGAAGGTGTAATGGTAATTTTCCGACCTTTGTGCAGGAAGGTGTGGGTTCAAGTCCCAACTTGGTCCAGAGGTGTGTAAGCACATCTTTGAGCAGAGTGATTTCAAATACTTAAAACTAACCTGGCAATTACAGCCCCCATGAGCTTACTTGCAATCATCTACAAAATGATGCAAGGAATTGTTGATAGTGCTATATATGGGTTCCCAGACAGCACCGTGAGGGTCTCTACATCAGAAGGTCGGCAGTGGTTCAAGGATTTGCTGGCGAGCTATACTCTGAAAAACTATAGTGCATTTGCTCTTTAAAACAGAGAGAGGCTCTGCTTCTTCCATAGGTGGGTATTATCAAAATTCAGCACAATTAGAAATCTTGCACTCGATGGCAAGGATGCCAGATTTTGGGTATTGAACCTGCTATTTTTGGTCAAATCACTTAACTGTGTACAATAACCTTCAGCTGTCACTGTTTGCATTCTGACTGACATTGAAACGCAGATCAGAGCATAATTTAAGATGATCATATTCTATTACATAGGAGCATAAGAACAGGTGTAGGCTATTTAGCTTCTTAAGCCTGCCTGCCAATCAATGATCTGTTGCTTAATGCTATATATCTGCCTTTGGGCCATATCCCTCAGTAACTTTGCTTAACAAAAATTTATCTATCTCAGATTTAAAATGAGCGACCGATTTAGCATCAATTAACATTTGTGCAAGAGAGTTGGAAACTTATAGAATCATAGAATCCGTACAGTGCGGAAAGAGGCCATTTGGCCCATTGAATCCCCAAGACTACCAACTTTTAATTTATGTAATGATAAAATTTCTTCTGATTGATTTTGATGCCCCTTGCAAGTTTCCTTTCATAATCCCTTTTTGTAGCTCTTACAAGCTGCTTTGTGGCCCTTTTGCTGGTCTTTTTATGTTTCCCATTTGGCAGGATCTATTTTTTTTTTGCATTTTTGTAAACCATTTGCTTTAGTTTTATGCTGTCCCTTATCTCTTCAGTTGTCCAAGGCTGTTTTTTTTTCTGTGAAGTGGAGCAATGGCTCTCAGGGGTATAAATGGTTCAATTTGTGGTTAAATGTTTCTTTAACCATCCTCCACTGTTTTTCATCTTTTTTATCCATTTTACCCTGCTTGCCGTGGACAGTTTGACTCATCTCATTAAAGTTGGCTTTACCTAAATCTAAAATCTAGCAACTGATTTGTGCTTTTCACTTTCAAATGTTGCTTTGAATTTGATCATGTTATGATCACTATTTGATAAATGTTAGGTTACTAATTAAATTCGGCTCATTACTCATCACTAAAACCAATATTGCATGTCCCTTTGTTGCATCCTGGACTTTTGATGCAGGAAACTAATGTGGACACACTCCAACAAATTCAATACCTTTCTGACAGAGAATTGTCTGCCTCTCCCAATCTATGTTAAAATTAAAATCCCTCCTTAATATGGCTGCATTTGTTACACACTTGCATATTTTCTGCACTGATACAATCTAGGTCTTCAGAGCTGCTATCAAAGAGTCCAAACACAACGTCTATTACAGTTTTAGATCCTATTTTTCTTACCGGATGTCTGTGGTGGTACATGAAATATTAAAATAATTTAATAGTGCTGTCATCTCCTCAGATTTAAGCCATGCATCTTCTGTTACAACTTTGATGTAATCTTCATCAATTTTTATTAAGATCTGAAAATGCAAATGGAAGCAGATTTAAAAGTAGCAATCCTTGGTAGTTATACCATAAAAATTTGCAGAAAACATACATCATGCATCCTTGGTTCGAACTTTATTAATTCGTCAGGAAAGTACTTAGTACTAGACTTAAAGATACAAGTGAAAGCATTAACCTGATTTTTTCAATTTGTAGATTGTGAGTCAATGTTATCCTGGCACATAACATGGTCCACATTGAAGAAATCAGTGGACATACTGGATTTTCCTTACTTCACATAAAAGTTGGTGCAGTTTTTGACAATTGTATAGTATGGGGTTCTACACCTAATCTGTACAGAGTCGCTGCCATCATTGTGCTCCTCAGTGCCTCTGGACATTCCTAGTAACCATCTTAAATCAGCAATGCTTCAATTTCAATACGCAAAATAAAATGGTCATACAAATGTTTTAAGATCCTTTTGTAAAATTCATGAGAAACCAGTTAAGGTGCATATATGCATGTTTCTCTTGATTTGAAGTGGCTCTATTGGAAGCCACTACAGAAATGATAGGAAATAAAGATTAACACATAAGCCATCGCTCCTGCCCCCACCCCCCCAAATCCTCTCACTGTCCTTATCCCATCTATGCCAACTCATGCCATCCTATGCTTTTGTACACACCCCCATAGCGAACTGTATCCTCCATTTCAATCTGATACCTGGTGCTCAGTCCCATAATTCTCATATGCTCCCTGCCACTTAATATCCCATACCTAAACCCTAATGTCCCCACACAAACCTCCATCCTAGACTATGTGTCTGTATCTACCATTGACTTTTTATTGTTGATAAGCCAACTTCATTGTAGCTCATTCCAACCCATCTGCCGTCCTTTGCCCTCTCAACTATCCCGCCAACTCACCTAGTATTCATGATGGGCAGACCTCAGGACCCATGCACCAATGAGAAAAAAAAAGTTTCTATTAAATAAGTATATTGCAGCTTTCAATATACTGAGAAATAATATTTAATTCATAAAGCACATTTACTACCTTTAAATTCCCTCACCTCAATAAAATATTATCAAATTAATTATTTCATTCAAGTGCAACAAACATGAAAATTCACAGTCTTACATTAAAGTGTCCAAACCATCTGAAATTGTCAATCAAACTGTGAAGTGGGAGGCACCCCATGGCGATAATTGACACTGTGAAATCAAACATGCCACAATAATCGAATTTTGAGAATATTAAGACTAATGTCAACACACAGATTGAAATAGAAACCAATCATTTTGTTAAATTCATTTTTTCTTTTATTAAAAGAACTGAAATTTTAAATGCCTTCATAGTCTCAAAATACTCTTTGATAGACTGTTCATTGCCGGCTTGGACAAGTTGATTGTCCCAATATGTTTATTCACTTTTTGTTCACAAGCATTTCAACAATTCCAAACAGCTCCTGACTTCTCCCAAAGGGGCACTTTACCTTTATAAAGCCTGGGCTATTCCAAAGGGTGCCTTATCTCTACCAAATAGCACCTTACCACCCCCAAAAATGAGCCCCAGGACCAGAGCCAAAGGGGAACTCTATAATTGCCAAGACTATCCTGACTATCCAACTGAAAACATGAGCTTCAGACCTGTACATAAAATGGCATAATCTACACACTTCTGGATTCAGACATTTATCTCTAATTAAAATCATAGCCAGCTAATGATTTAAATGGCCAGCTGTCTCAGTTAGCTATGCAAGTGTGCATTCTGAGCTAGTCCCACATCGTCACCCATAAAAATGGTAAATTCCATGTTCAGGGGCATGACCTGGATTTCTAAGGAATTGTTCCTGTTTTGCCATGTCAAGTACCCATCTGACAAAATGAAAATCTGGGCCAATCTTTCATTTTTTACTCATTTGAAAAGCTTTTGGAACAAATGGCTTAGGAGCAGGTGTAGGCTATTCTGCCTTTCTGTTATCCAATAAGATAATGGCTGATCTAATTGTGGCCTCAACACCCCATAATGCGTATCTTCCTTGTTTAATAAGAATCTATTGACTTAAGATGAGAATGAATCAATTGATTCAGCCATGACTGCATTTAGTGAAGAGAATAGTACAGGTTAGAGACTCTCTGAGTGAAAACTTAACCCATAAAGGGCATCAGATCCCAAAAGGTGTTTTGTATCATATTTAATCTCTCCAAACATACATTGTGGCTATCCATATGAATCTACAAAGTTCAGACCTACTCTTAGCAGTTCCAGTGTGCTTAGTTTATGTTCAATTCCTAAGCAATTCCAAAATCATGTAACAATGCCACAAAGATGTAGAGAAGTGGAGGAGGACAAGATGTTCCAACAAACCCAGAATCATCAGCAACTCCCAAAGCTACTAAACAGCCTCCACTCAAAGAAGAGACAGCAGATGGGTGCTTCAGGATGTGTAGGATGTACAGGAGGTCCAGAGTCAGTGCCATTTCCTCGAGCTGAGAACAGCACAGTTTCACTGTAGGCTAAGGATATCGGTTATAGAACTATACCAATTATGCTGGAGACATGAAGGAGTGGGTGTCTATCCTGAACGGGTGGCCATTAAAGGTGATGTTTACTAAACTTTTATGCAGCTCGCTGCTTCCAAGGAGCTGTGTGAGACATCACTATCCTTTTCCCACAGATGTATCAACTATGTTAGGGATGCATATCTTCCCAGTTCACACTGACTCGTCTTGTTTCTCTGTGATGAGATCAGTGCTGTCACCCAGGCAGTGGACTATGGCAACATAGCTAGCATTCCCCAGGTACAGGGTATCATTGACGTACACGTTACTTTGAGAGAACCATATCATAACACAGCTGACTTCATGAATAGAAAAGGATTCTGTTCCATTGATGTGCAAGTGATCTGTGATCATCAGTATCACATCTTGGCAATCTGCACCAAGTACTTGGGAGCTGCTGTGAAGCCTTTATCCTTGAGAACTCTCATTTTCCTGCTTCATTTTGAGGTCCAGATGCCTTTCAAGGTTGGTTACTGGGAGACAAAGGCTACCCACAAGGGCTAACGTTGATCTCGCCTAACATATGTCCTGTGCAATATAACCTGTACTTCTCTCGAAATCATTTTGATCTGAACGTCCTTGCTTACTATGATCTGCCTATACTGATTGTAAATAAAGCTTTTCACTGTACTTCGGTTCACATGATAATCAATCAATCAATACCCTTTGCAACCATGGCTGGTAACTCTGTTACACAATCTCCTGACTGAGACAGAGTGTAGTTATAATTCAACCATTCTCATATCAGCGGATGATAGGCCTGCTGTGGATAAAGTTTCAATACTCGGATCTGTCGAGTGGATGATTTGCAGTCATTGTCAGACAGAGTGTAATGCATAATCCTAGCAAGCTGTGCTCTGCAAAACTGAAAGAGGCAAAGTGATGGACTCTGAGAACTGGGAGAGTAGCAGCCGGTTCCAGTAGATGTGAGCTGGATGCAAAGATTGAATGAAAATTTGATCGTGCTTGAAAGATAAGCAGTCACTGTCTGTTCCCATAACTAAATATGGCGTTTGTTTGTTTTTATTTGCATTTATGTCACTGAATGAAAGCAAACATTTTAATTATTGAAAGTATTTCCAGTATGTGATGTTCTGATATTAATCAATGAGAAAATGTTAGGCTACACTGCATATTGGGGAAAGAGTGGTACTCCTTTCAACAGGGTTCTTAGATATGATGATGCTAAAGAGAGGTAATCTGTGTAGCTTGGTTCATAAGTAGCAATATATTAATGATCATGCACTTGCATTTGCAACGAATATTAACATGCCCCTATGTACTTGGAGAAGCTTTGCTTTTTGGTTCCTCTCCCAATATAGACAATTTGAAGGACAACTGCAGGTGGTAGTGCTTGATTGGTGCACAGCTGAGTTTTAAAAATGGCTCTGAAAATCTGAAAATCCCAACAGTGATGAGAGGGGAGATAGTATGAATGTAGCACCATAGAGGCTTGGTGCATAGGCCATTGGAGAATGGCATAGAGGTTAACGTACACAGCAGACCCAAGCAATAGGTGGTTATGATGGTTTATTGACACCCAAGGTGCCTGTGTCTTATATAACCTTGAGGAATTTGTGTCAACACACACATGATTTGCGCAGTGATACACCACCTTTTCAGTTACCTGAGGGTCTGCTTCTAAATCTTTGGCTGCATTTCAGCCCCAAGCTTTGATCTTTGCTCACCCAGTGCAGAGGAGCACAGGTAAACCAGAGGAACTCCTCACTGGTCTGCTTTTGGGCCTGGTCGAGGCGGCCACCAATAGATCCATACAGCAGGCCATGAAGGAAGTTATTAGACCAGACAGTGGTTGCATCCACATCCAGGTGACTCTGGAGAGGGAGCATGTGATGTCCAATGACACACTTGAGGCCATCCATGACCAATGACCATTGCAGGGGCTGTAGTATACCTTCTCCCCTCAAAACAAAGTGTTCATTTCACTGTCGTAAGTTTTCTGTGACAATTTGATGTTACAGTGCCCCTTTAAGAGACTTTATTTTAGTCATTTCATTAATTTGATTTAGTGTTTTACTCTGATGACTACGTTTAGTGTTTTGTGGTGCAGTGGTAATGTTCCTACTTCTAGGCCAGCAGGCCTGAGTTAAAATAAACATGTATAAAGGGATGACTGAGACACTGGACATAGCGGTCAGGAGGAAGAGAGCTATAAAACTGCATCCTATGAGTAAATCTATTATTAATGATAAGACCATAAGACAAAGGAGCAGAACTAGGTCTTTCAGCCCATCAAGTCTGCTCTTCCTTCAATGAGATCATGGTTGATCTGATAATTCTCAACTCCACTTTGCTGCCTTTTCCTTTGATTCCTTGATTCACCTACTGGTTTAAAATCTATCTTAGCCTTGAATATACCTAATTCCTCGCCTCAACAGCCTTCTGCAGTAAAGAACTCCACAGATTCACAACCCTCTGTGAAAGCAAATTCCCACTCACTTTTGCCATCTTGACCTGCTCTGGTCTACTTGTGACTCTAGACCCACAGCAATGGGGTTGACTCTTAACTGCCCTATAAAATGGCCCAGAAATTCAATTAGTTCAATTGCAATAAATAATGACCTTAGCAAAGGTACCCATGTCCCAGACAAGAATAAAGACAAATAGATAATAATTTACGGGGTTGTCATACTTCTTTCATCTCTGAAATCAGTGGCACTGGTGTGTCAATGTAACCCTGTAAGTAGAACCAGGAGATGATGATTTGCAAACAACGGTATGGAGCACCCCAATCTCTGTCTTTTTCATTGTCTTGCAAGCAGTGATGAAAGGTGTAGGATCCATGTATAACAGAAACCTGTTCCAAATTAAATGAAACATAACATTTGTCAGCGCAGCTATGCATATAATTGAGTTAAAATATAATTTTCCTGACTCTGTGGTCTACTTATGTATTATACAAATGTTTTAATGACAAATAATTTTGACTGTTGTTACTTTGTTTCACTTGAATAGTATGCAGTATTGTAAAATTAGATGTGTACCTTGAACTCATTGGGATCGGGAGCAGAAATATACTTATGTATATCTTTGTAGTACTTAGATTCCACCTGATCAGCTGGAAAACTAAAAGCCATTTGACGGCGGAAGAAGGGTTTATTTTCTAGGCCAAATTTAGCGTGTAATTCCTGTATAAATCAAAAATGTAAAACTCAATAGCAAGATGCTGATATCATCATTCAAAGAATATTATGTTACAAATTATACATGAAGTTGTAGACTCAAGCCACAACCAAAAGTCCAAATAACTAATTTCTGAAATTTCTAGGATGTCCTCACTATATCCTATCTATATGAAAGCAGAGTCAATAGCTGCTAGGTAGGACTGCAGCTTTATTGATCATGACTAATGTGTACACCACATTCATTTCCATACTTTTGCTCACATTCCTTGATACATTTATCTAACAGATATTTATCTGTCTCTGGATGCTTGTCTTAAACTTAAGCGTACGCTGCCCTTCAGGAGAATTCCAGGTTTCTGCAATTCTTTGTGTAAAAGTAGTGCTTCATAATTCACTCTGGAATAGCTTGTCTCTAATTTTATGATTATGAAGAATATAGTATAAGAACATATACAGGAGCAGGAGGAAGCCAATTGACCCTGCAAGCCTTCCCTACCATTTCATACAATCATAGTTGAACATCCACCTCAATTTTTTTTTATATTTGTTCACAGATGTGACATCATTGCAGCATTTATTCCCCATCCCTAATAGAGTCAACCACATTGCTGCACCTCTGGATTTATATGTAAGCCAGATCAGGTAAGGATAGCAGATTTTACTTCTGAAAGTCCATTAGTGAACTAGATGTTTTAAACGACAGTCTCCAGAGTTTACATGGTCACCATTAGGCCAGCTTTTTATAGAAGTCAATTATTCCAGATTTTTCCACAGTGGGATTCAAATCCAGTTCCTTAGAACATCAGCCCCAAAGTCTGGATGACTTGTGATATCACTACTATGCCGTCACCTCCCTTACAGATACGTGTGATTCTATGCTACCACATTATCCCATTATTTCTTAATTCCTTAAGGATGCAAAAATGTAGCCTTTATCTTGAATAAGTTCAATGACTGAGCATTCACAGATCTCGTTCACAGTACAGCTGATCTGATTGTGACCTCAAATCATATTCCTGCCTATGCCAAAAACCTTTGACTCCTTGTTAATCAAGAACCTGTCTACCTCTGACTTAAGGCTCTGCAATGACTTGTCTCCACCTGAGGAAGAGAGTTTAAAGGACTGTTGACTCCTCAGGGGAAAAAAAAATAGTCCTCATCTCTGTCTTAAATGGAGGACTTCTTATTTTTAAAACTGAGTCTCTAAATCTAGTCTCTCCACCAATGGGAAGCATCTTTTCTGCATTCACCCTCAATTCTTTCAGGATCTTAAATCCTACAGTAAGGCTGTCTCTCATCATCTAAACTGCAATGGATACAGGCACAGTCTGTCCAAACTTCCCTCATCAGCTAAAATTTTGCCCACTCACTTAATCTATCAGTAACCCTTTGCAGACAATTTATGTCTGTCTCACAACACGCCTTCCTGCCTATCTTTGTATCATGAGCAAAATTAGCAATCATGCAATGTGGTTGCTCTCAGGGCTCTTGTGGCATGGTAACAGTGTCCCTATCTCTGAGCTAGGAGACCCAGGTTCAAGTCACACCTACTCCAGATGTGTGATATAATATATCTGAGTAGGTTGATTAGAAATTCTATATTTGGTACCTTTATCTAAGTCAGACTCAAAATATCTGACACCCCTTTAGCACACTATCACATCTTGCCAGCCTGAAAACATCTCATTCCTATTAGTCAGTCCTCCACATTGTTACCAACGACACAGGTCAGAAAAGATATGAAGTACTAAAATCAGAATATAGGGAGCTAGAAAGCATGTTAAAAAAGATAGGACCTCAAAGTATTGATCTTGGGATTGCTACCAGTGCCACGTCAGTCAGAGTCGGACTGCAGGATGGTATGTTGCCTCCCTGGTGCCACCGTCAGGGATGTCATGAAACAGCTGCAGGGCATCCTGAATAGGAAGGGCGATGAGTTAGAGGTCATGGTACATGTTGGTACCAACTATATGGGCAAAGTGAGGAATGAGGTCTTGCATCAAGAATTCAGGGAACTCGGCAGTAGATTAAAAAATGGGGACCACAATGGTTGTAATCTCTGGATTACTATCGGTGCCATGTGCTAGTGAGTTTAGACATAGGAAAATGGAACACAAGAATGCATGGTTCAAGGGGGAGGGTTTTAGATTTCTAGATCACTGGGGTCGTTCTTTGGGGAAGGTGGAACATGTACAAATGGGACGGTCTGCACCTGAACCACACTGGGACCAACATCCTTGCAGGTAGGTTTGCTAGTGCTGTTGGGAGGAGTTTGAACGACTCTGGTGGGAGGAGGAGACACAGAATATTGATGAAATAGAGACACATTATGCTACAGCAAAGGAAGCAAGTCAGATTGAGTTCAACTATGTTGAGTGTCAAGAGAGTAAGGCAAGGCTAGGTGGCCTTTAATGTTAGGAGTGTAATAGGTAAAACTGATGAGTTAAAGGCATGGATTTACACATGCAAGTGTCATATGGGTGCCAACACAGAAATATGGTTGAGGGAAAGGCAGGACTCAACATTCCAGGTTATAGGATCTTTAGGCGAGTCAGAGGAGCGTGTTAAAAAGGTGGTCATAGAGCACTATTAATAAAGGAGTCAATTACTGCAATAAGGAGATATGTACCTTGGAAAAGCCCTCAAACGAGGCTTTGTCATTAGAACGTAGGAATGTTAAGGGGGCAGCCACTTTATTAGGAGTGCATGATAGGCCCCCAAACATTCAATGGGAAATAGAGGAGCAAATATGTAGACAGTTCACAGAGGTGTGTAAGAGTAATAGTGGTGTAATGAAATGAGGATATCTCAGCTTTACCAATGTAAATTGAGTTAGTCAAAATGTTAAGGGTTTAGAGGGGGTGAATTTCTTGAAATGTATCCAGGAGAGTTTTTTTGTATCAATACACAGAAGGGCCAACAAGGTACACTGCAGTGCTGGATCTGGTTCTGGGGAAAGAAGCCAGACAATTGTTTGAGGTGGCAGTCGGGGAACAGTTTAGTGTTAGCGACCACAACACAGTACAGTTTAAATTTCTTATGGACAAGGAAAATGATAGCCTGCAAAAAATGGCTTTGGATTGGGGGAAAGGCACATTTTATTAAAATAAAGCAGGATCTGGCTATAATTGACTGGGAACATTGCCTTGCGGGTAAGTCTACAGCTGAGCAGTGAGGGGCATTCAAAAAGAAGCTTGGAAGAATATAAGTCCAACATGTATCCATTAAAGGGAAATGTAGCAGCAATAAGTTCAGACAACCCTGGATGCCTAGGACAATTCAGGACTGGATGAGGAAGAATAGAAAGACTTTTAGGAAGTCCAAAGGGAATGATTCAGCTGCCGCCCTGGAGGAATATAGGAAGTACAAGAGGGAACTTAAGAAAACAATTAGAAAAGTAAAAAGAGGACATGAGAAAGGACTTGCAAACAGGGTTAAGGAGAGTCCTAAGATATTTTATAAATACATTAAAGGGAAGAGGTTAACCAAGGAAGGAGAAGGGCCATTTAGGGACTAAGGAGGCAACCTGCGTGTGAAGCCACAGGATATTGGATGGGTGTTGAATGAACACTTCTCTTCAGTCTTCACTCTGGAAAAGGAGAATGCAGGTAGGGAATTCAGGAAAAGGGACTATGAGGAACTTGCACAGTTTGATATAGGAAATAGGGAGGTGCTAGATGCTCTGTTAGACTTAAAAATGGACAAATCCCTTGGCCTGGATAAATTGCATCCCAGGCTGCTGTGGGAGGTGAGACAGAAAATTGCAGGGGCTCTGACACAAATTTTTAATTCCTCTCTGGCCACTGGGAAAGTGCCAGAGAATTGGAGAATGGCTAATGTGGCTCCACTTTTCAAGAAGGGTGGTAGAGATGAACCAGGAAATTACAGACCAGTGAGTTTCACGTCAGTGGTAGGAAAACTATTGGAGAGAATTCTGAAGGAGAGAATGAATATCCATTTGGATAGGCATGGGTTAAATCAGGATAGTCAGCATGGCTTTGTCAGAAGGAGGTCATGCCTAACAAATTTCTTAAAGTTTTTTTGTAAATGTGATCAAGGACGTGGATGAGGGAAGTTCAGTTGTTGTAGTTTTTATGGATTTTAGGGCAGCTTTTGACAAAATCCCACATGAAAGACGGTTTGAAAAAGTTAAATGACATAGAATTGAGGGAAACCTGGTGAGATGGATCAGAAAATGGCTTAGTAATAGGTCATAAAGTGTAGTGGTAGAAGGCTGTTTAAGTGACTGGAGGCCGGTGTCTAGTGGTGTACCTCAAGGATCAGTACTGGGACCCTTATTGTTTGTTATATACATAAATGATATAGATGAAAATGTGGGGGGAATGATAAGCAAGTTTGCAGATGACACCAAGATTGGTAGAGTGGTTAATAGTGAAGAAGGTGGTTGTCGGTTTCAGGAAGATATAGACGGTTTGGTAAGATGGGCAGAGTGGTGGCAGATGGTATTTAATCCTGATAAGTGCAAGGTGATGCACTTTGGAAGAAGAAACAAATGAGGGCGTATTTAATGAATGGCAGGACACTGGGTAGTTTAGAGGAATAGAGAGATCTTGGGGGTTTATTATTCCCAGATCCCTGAAGCTGGCAGAGCACTTTAATAGGATTGTTCAGAAGGCTTATGGGATACTTGCTTTTGTTAGTCATGGCATAGAGAAAAAGAACAAGGATGTAATGTTGGGATTGTACAGAACGTTGATTAGGCTACGCCTGGGGTACCCTGTGCAGTTATGGTTGTCTCACTACAGGAAGGATATGATAGCAGTAGATGGAGTACAGGGAGGTTCACCAGGATGTTGCCTGGGATGGAGAAATTGAGCTTTCAGGAGAGACTAGATAGGCTTGCATTGTTTTCCTTAGGCTGAAGAGGGGATACGATTGAGACATATAAGATTATGACGGGTATGGACAGGGTGAATAGAGAGCAGATATAACATAGTATGGAGCTGGAGGAATGTGGCAGGCCAGGCAGCGTCAGAGAAGCAGGAAGGCAGCGTCAGAGAAGCAGGAAAGCTGATGTTTTGGGTCAGGACCCTTCTTCAGAAATTTTCCTCCAGCTCCACACTGTGTTATCTCCGACTCCAGCATCTGCAGTTCTTACTATCTCTGAGTGAATAGAGACTAGTTGTTCCCCTCAGTTGAGGGGTCAATCATGAGGGGGCAGAGTTTTAGGGTAAGGGACAAGAGGTTCAGAGGGGATTTGAGAAAAAATTTTTCACTCAGAGGGTGGTGAGAATCTGGAATGCACCGCCGGAAGGTAATGGAGGCCAGAAACCTTACAATCTTTAAAAAACAATTTGGATGAGCACTTGAAATATCACAATGTTCAAGGATATGGGACAAGTGCAGTAATTTTGGATTAGCATGCCTTTAGTGGTAGTTATGTCAGTGTGGACATGATGGGCTGAAAGGCCTTTTCTGTTCTGTATGATTCTATAAGTAAAAATGGCAGGATATATCAGATGAATACATGGCTAGAGAAATGATGAAAAGGGGAGGGTTTCAGATTTCGCGGGTATTGGGACCACTTCTAGGGGACGTATCGCCAGTACATGCTGGGTTGCACCTGGATGGGACCAGACTGATATCCTCGGGGATATATTTGTGACTGTGGTCTAGGAGTGTTTAAATGAGAGTGGCAGGAGGATGGGAACCTATTCTGGGAGATGAATGGCAGGAAAATAAGGACTAAAACAAAAGACAGAATGGGAAACAAGATAGGTGGCAGGCTGAGAATTCAAGGCTAGAATCAAGCAATCTGCTAGGGATTATATCCCCAGTCTCATTCTTTAAATGGCCTATGTTCACTTTGACTCCTCTCTTCCCTTTTTATATATTTTGTTAAGCTCTTGCCATCCTTCTTGATATTACTTCCAAGTTTACTCTCAAACTTTATCTTCTCTATTTTTTTTGGTCGTCTTTTATTGGTTTTTAAAACTGTCACCACCTTACCACCAACTTTTGATACATTGTATGTTTTCTTTTCTTTCAATCAATCTGATACTATCCTTAACTTTGCTAGCTGACCATGGTTGGCTTATCCCCTTCCTAGAATCCTTCTTTTGCATTGGAATATGTCTTTGCTATCAGCTATGAACTATTTTCTTAAACATCTGCCATTGATCCTCAGCATAAACAGCTATAATCAATCCTCAACTCAATTATGCTTATTTAAGCTTAGTGCAGTTGTTTCTGATCCAAGTTCATCCTTCCCGAACTAAATGCTAAATTCTACCATGTTCTGGTCACTGCTCCTGAGTGGATCTTTTACTCTGACATCATTTATTAAGCTTGCCTCATTACACATCACCAGATCAAAAATAGCCTGATCTCCGGCTGGATCCACAACATATTGTTCTAGGAAACTGTCCAAAATGCACCTTATGTATTCTTCCTCATGGCTTGCATTTGTAACATGGCCAAACAGATTGCCATTCAACCCAGAAACTCTGACATGCCAATGGTTGCGGGGGGGGAAGAGCAGGTGAATCTCCTACTAAGCATGCTCGATGCCCTTCAGGTCATTGCCTATAGTGAGAAGCTAGCAACATGTTTCGGGAAAATGTTTCTTTGAAAGCAGATGTAAGCATGCTTTTTGCCTGCTTAATACACCGATAGATATATGAAAGGAAAAGTAGGCAAACTCATGGACAGACTATATAAGTAGAAAAATTGTCCTCGACTCCAACCATACTTTCCGTTGCAGTTCCAGAGTATCATCACTGACTCCAGCGGGGAATATTACTGTAGTAAGGGTTGTTTGCTCCGGCAAATCAAAGTGGAATGCTTGCGGCTGTGGAACAGTCTTTCCTTTTGTGTATCGTTGAATGCATTCGTCCATTGCAGACAACTGTTTGGTGACTGCTTCCATAAACTGATCCTGTAGCCTGTTAAACACATTATTTATCATAAAGGCATAACCTAACTTTATAACTGGAATACATATAAAATGTTACTTGTCAAGAAGAAGCCTCTTATCTCAAACACAAAATTGTTTACAAAAGCATTTAGTTTCCCTAAAAGCTGCTACTTTCTCTCCAAATAACATCAGAAAAATTTAAACACCTTTAGACTCGGTAAAAAGGGATATCATGGTATGTTTTCCATCATTTTTCTATCAAATTCCTCGACTTCAAATTTCACAATTCAAAACCATTGTTAACTGTCAGGTGCAGAAACATTGAAACTGGAACACCTCTGTTAAAAACTTTGATGGTAGTACTTAGTACTTATAATATTTGCAGCTTTTATTTTAGATTTTAAGCATTTCCATGTTTTCTGAGATCCATCTGTACCTATCTAAAAAGGGCAGATTTTGATACCAGGAGCTGGATTTTCATCGTGGATGTTGAGCTATTTCCCAATGTCATGATCCTAACTCCTACTCCTAGCTGTCTACACCATATTCCTGGTGGAATGGGCTGGAATAAGGCTGAAGCTTCCCACAGTAGGCTCGAGGTGAAGATGAATGGATGCTGAGGTAGGTAGGCTAAAAGGTCTGTTTCCATTCACTTGAACTTCAGGCCAGTTCTGTAAGGGAGTATGAGGGCCCCCTTACCCTCATCTCTATCCCCTTACACAACTGTCATGCCTCATGACCCCTGTGCTCCCATATCCTTCTAAACCTTGCCCCCTACACTCACCTTCCATGTCTACTCATTTGGAGGAGAAAATAGGAGGAGTAGGCTATTTGGTTCCTTGAGCTTGCTCACCGAGCAATTAAATCATGACTGATATTCTACTTCCATGTCATTTTCCTGCACCAATCACATATCCTTTGACATATCTAGAAATCTATTAACCTTTGTACTGAATATTCACAATGACAGCTTCCACAACTTACTTGGGTCGATAATTCCAAAGATCCACCACCCTTGAACTGAAGAAATTACTCATCTTGGACCAAAATAGCCTCTCTTATTCTGAGGCAGTTATCCTGATTCCAGGTCTTCCAGAAGAAAAATCCTTCTTGAATCAGTCTACCATGTAAACCCCTGTCAGAATTCAGTATGCCTCAATGAGATCATCTCTTATTCTTCTAAACTTGATAGCATATAGGACAGTCCCCTCAATCTCTCCTCATTGGCCAATTCTGCCATCCCAAAACTCCCCCTTCCCAGGGATCAGTCTTTCTTGCTCTCTGTCTATGCCAAGTGCATCCTTCCATAGGTAAGGGGACAAAACACTGTTTATAAAACTCCAGGTGCAGACTTACCAAGGCTTTGTCTAATGCAGTAGGATTTCTTTACTGCTGTATTCATGCCCTCTTGCAAAAAAAGGATATGTTCTTTACCCACCTAATGCTTACTTCACCTTTATGCTAGCATTCAGTGACTTATGAACAACGACAGATCACTTCCAATTTCTCATCAGACTCAGTATCCACCCTGTATAGTACTATTGAACCCTAAAATAACATTGAGTCATCTTGTAGATCATGAACAGCCTTTGAGGAGTAAGGAGGCAAGTTATTCACTGCAAAATTCCAAGCCTCCTTGCTCTTGTAGCCACAGTATGCATATGCCTAATTCAGTTCAATTTCAGGTCAATGTTTTTCTTAATCTATCCAACATTTATTAGTCATCTGCAGTTTGCCCAGATGACAGTTAAGAGTCCAAACACATTTCTCTGGGTTTGGAATCACATGGGCCAGACCAGGTAAGGATGTCAAATTTCCATCCCTACAGAATGTTAGTGAACTAGAAGATTTTTATGACAATGACACATGGTCACCATTGGTTTAGTTTTTCTTAAATTCAGATTTTTGTTGAATTCAAATTTCACTATCTGCCACTGTGGGATTTGAACACACAGCATCAGAATGTTGACCTGGTGTGCTTCATTACTAGCCCAGTGACATTACCAGGATTCCAGAATAATGTTGTTGAGGGATTCAGCAATGGCAACCCACTAAATGTCAAGGGGAGATAATTAGATTCCCATTTCTCCAACAACAGTCAAGAAGCTTGACACCATCCAGGACAAAGCAGCCCGCTTGATTGGCATCACATCCACAAGCATCTGCTCCTTCCTCTATCAATGTGCAGTAGCAGCAGTGTGTACTATCTACAAGATGCACTGTACAAATTCACCAAAGATCCTTAGACAGCACCTTCCAAACCCACGACCATTTCTATCTTGAAGGACAAGGGCAGCAAACACATGTAAAGACCACCACCAGCAAATACCCCTCCAAGCTACACACTATTCTGAATTGGAAATATGTCACCATTCCTTCACTGTTGAAATCCTAAAAATCCCTCCCTAATGGCATTGTGGGTCTACCTGCAGCACATGGACTGCAGTGGTTCAAGAAGGCAGTTCAACACCACCTTCTCAAGGACAATTAGGGACGACCAGTGATGGACACATCCCACTAGTGTAAAAAAGGATGATTAGTCTGAGATTTGTACGGTGTGAATGTTACTTGCCATTATCAGCTCAAGCCTTGATGTTGTCCAGGTCTACCAGGGCCACAGATTGCTTCAGCATCTAAAAAGTCACGAATTTGGGCTGAACCTTGTATATTCATCAACAAATGTTTCCAACTCTAGGGCCTTGGGTGCTACCCTGAGGAACCATTGCACCAGTGACCTTGAAATTAGATGATTGACTTGCAATCATCATAACCATCTTTCTTTGCGCTTAGTATTAATCCAACAAGTGAAGAGCTTTCCCCCTCATTCCTATTTGTTTCAGTTTTGCTAGAGCTCCTTGATACCATATTCAATCAAATGCGGCCTTGATGTCGAAGACAACCATAGTGATTTCACCATTTGAGTTCAGCTGTTTCGGCTATGTTTGCAACAAGACTGTTATGAGTGAGAAGCTGAGTGACTCTGGCAGAACTTGAACTAAATGCCAATGAACAGGTTATTGCTGAATATTTATTGCTTATGGAACTGTCACTGACCCCTTCCATCACTTTGCTGGTGGAGGAGTAATTGGTTCGGTTGGACATGTCCTGGTTTAAGTGAATGGGTGAGCAAATTTCCACATTGCCAGTTAGCTGCCATTGTTGTAAATGTACTGGAACAATTTTACCATTGGAACAATTACTTCTGGAACACAAGTCTTCAGTATTATTGTCAGAATGGTGTCAGGGCCCATAGTCTTTGTAGAATTCAATGCATTTGGCCATTTCTTAATATCCTGTGAAGTGAATCGAATTGGCTCCATCTGTGATGCAGGGGTTCTCAAAATGAGGCTGAAATGGATCATCTACTTGGCACTGCTGACTGAATATGGCTGTGAGTGTTTCACCTTTTCTTTAGTACTCATTTGATAGTACCATAAGACCATAAAATGCAACAGCAGACGTAGGCCATTCAGTCCATTCTGCTCCACCATTCAATGACATCATGTCTGATCTGATAATCTTTGATTCCAGTTTCTTGTCTTTCCCCATAACTCTTCATTCCTTTACTGATTAACAAAATGTCTATCTCAACCTTGTGTAACCTTGATGGCCTGACATTAATAGTTATCCATGGTAAAGAATTCCACAGATTCACAACTCTCTGAGAGAAGAAATTCCTCCTCATCTCTGTCTTAAGTTTGTGACTTCTTATTCTAAGATTATGCCCTCTGGTTCTAGACATTCCTACAAGGAGAAACAACCTTTCCACATCTACCCTGTAAAGTTCACTGACAATCTTATGTGTTTCATCGAATCCATCCTTGAGGATGGGGATCACTGTGTGACTTCCTCCTACAGCTATTTGTTTAATTATTCACCAAAATTCTCGACTGGATGTGACAGGACTGTAGAACTTAGATCTGTTGTTTGCAAGATCTCTTAGCTCTGTGCATTGTATGTTGTTTCCACTGTTTGTCATTGAATTAGTCCCGTGTTGTATTTTAACCCGGTTGATACCTGAATTTTAGGAATGCTTCTGGCATGCCCTTTGCACTCTCCTAGCTTGACAGTAATGTCAACAACTCAGGAGATGTTCTCCATGATATTACATGTTGTAGTTGGATATGCTACTGCTGGCACTGGTGGCCCACTGTGCCTTAAGGATCTGCAGTTGTAAGTTGCAAGATCTGTTAGGAGTCTGTCACATTTGGCGTTGTGGTAGTGCCAGATAATATGATGAAGGGTCTCCTCAATGTGAAAACAGTATTTATTTTCAAACCACTATGCAGTGGACTATCCTGCAAATATTTTCATGGAAAGATGATATAGTGAAACCTTACTGAGCTGAATCCATTTGTAACTTTGAAATTCAGCCAAGTGCTCATGATGAGATTCCATTTCACAACCGCACGAACAAAACCTCCACAGTTGAATACTTTAAGTATCTGAACTTATCCCCAGAGCTCAACCATGCCTTTCAGCTCTGTAATAGGAAACTAGATGATTGAAATGAATTTCAAAGAGCTCAGCCATCTGTTCAAGCTTTGTAGTGGGATGGGGGAGGGGTGTCATAATTTCATTGGTATTAGTGTTTCTGAACACATCCTCACTGGTGCCAGCTGCCACTTAGTCATTTAACATCCTACTGGCCATTACTTGGTTGTAGGCAAGATTTCTGCCCTCCACTCAAGAAGAGGTCCCATCTCAGAGTGCTGTGAGCCTGTATTTCCAGCTGGGATTAAACTGAGCACTCAAAGATTGAGGGACCTTGGGGGAGTCTCAATGAGATAAGAGGGCACATGAACTATGTACTGATCTTGTTTCCTCTTGAGGCCTAAACAGCATAACTTAGCACACATCGCACCATCTCTGAACTCTAGACAACCTCAAACTTGAAGTCAGGTGAGATGCAGCCTTTAACTGGGCATTAATTAAACACTCATGGGTCTCAATTAAGATGAGAGTGGGTCATTTGGCTTCCATGATTATCAACAGGTCGAGGGTGATTGATAGAGCAGGAGAAAAGCCATCAGGTTATTCTATTGCCTACTGCCAACTGCAAGCCCACGGGCAGTTCCCATTAAATTCTGCCCAGGTGAAAAAAAGGCCAGGGCTGAAATTAAATAAATAGGTCAAAACAAAATGGTCAATTGATACAATTGGATCTGAATTTCAATATTGTTCAATGCAGAAGAGCACATACCTAATGGCTATTCTAATGCATCTTGAAATAGAAAAGCAAGGGGATGGCTCTGCTTGAGCTGGAGAGAGAGAGACAGGGTCTTCAAGGGGTCAAGGTCTAAATCTAGAGTGAGCAGGGCACTCATCCTATGAGATGAGAAAAATGCAAACTGCTTTGTCAGAATTAATGTGTGTTTTCAGAAAAGGTCCCTCATTTTTAGGTAGTTATCACCCAATTAAGGGATTAGCGAGTGTGGTTCCAGCTGGTAGTCTTCTCTTGTTTCAGACATCCCTGCCCTCTCCTCCCACATGACCCACATCCCTTGTAATCCAACTCCCACCGTCAGTCACCTGATGCCTGGATCCTTCAGCAATTTGTGCCTTGGTTAAAAGAACCAAAAGAAGTGCAGGATGCTGGAAAGCAGAAACAAAAACAGAAATTGTTGGAAAAACTCAGCAGGTCTGGCAGCATCTGTGGAGAGAAATCAGTTAATGTTTCGGGTCCAGTGACACTTCTTCGGAACTAACGGTGGCTGGGAAAATGTTGGCTTTTCTGCAGAAGATAAGTTGAGGGCAGGGAGTAAACGATAGGTGGAGATAGAGCCCAAAGAGAAAGAAACACAGTTTTAGAGACAAAGGAGTGGGTACCTGTCAGCCTAGGAAACTGAGTATCTGCTAATGCAGACTATTAGTGGCTAAAAATGGGTTGTGTTTAATAGCAGACCATGTGATAACAAGGCCTGGTGTGTGGGATTGGAGATAAGCTTGGGGAAAGGTGCTCAACCCCTAAAATTGTTGAACTCAATATTGAGTCCAGAAGGCTGTAGAGTTCCCAAGTGGAAAATGAGGTATTGTTTTCCCAGCTTGTGCTGAGCTTTGCTGGAGCACTGCAGCAAGCCTGAGACAGAAATGTTGGCAAGGGAACAGGGTGATGTGTTGAAGTTGCAGGCAACTGGCAGCTCGGGGTCTTTTTTGCTGGCAGAACGTAGATGTTCTGTGAAGCGATCACTCAGGCTATGCTTTGTTTCCCCAGTGAAGAGGGGACCACATTGTGAGCAGTGAATGCAGTAGACTAGATTGAGCAAAGTGCAGGTAAAGCACTACTTCACTTGCAAGGTATATCTGGGGCCTTGGGTGGTGAGGAGGAAGGAATTAAATGGGTAGGTGATACATCATCTGCAGTTGCAAGGGAAGGTGCTGTGGGGGGTGTTGGGAGTGAAGGAAGAGTGGACTAGGGTGCTCAAGAGGGAATGCAGAAGGCTGAAAAGGGAGGGGAAATGAATATGTGTCATCATGCTGGAGGTGGTGGAAATGGTGGCTAACGATCCTCTGGATGTGGATGCTGGTGGGATGGTAGGTAAAGTCAAGGGGAACCCTATTGCTGTTGTGGGAGGGAGCGAGGGGGTGAGGGCAGAACAGATGCAGTGGAGACAGAGAAACTGGGAGAATGGAATAGAGTCTTTCGAGGAAGCAGGATGTAGAATCAAGGTAACTGTGGGAGTCTCTACACCTACATCCCCCATGAGGTGGGCCTAAAAGCCATCTATTTCTTCTTCTCTTGTCGGCCCAACCAGTCCTCCTTCACTGACACTCTCATCAGTTTGACAGAACTTTTCTCAACAACTTTTCCTTTAACTCCTCCAACTTCCTACAAACTAAAGGATTGGCTATGTGCATCCGCATGGGTCCGAGCTATGCCTGCTTCTTTGTAGGATACATGGAACAGTCCCTCTTCCGTACTTATACTGGCACCGTTCCTCACCTCTTCCTCCGCTACATTGATGACTGTTATCGGTGCTGTCTCATGTTCCAATGAGGAGTTCGAACAGTTCATCCATTTCACCAACATCTTTCACCCCGACCTCAAATTCACCTGGACCATCTCCGACACCTCCCTCCCCTTCCTGGACCTCTCTGCCTCGATATCCATCAACTGACCGAGCACTGACATCCAGTTAATACCCACCAACTCCCACAGCTACCTTGACTACACCTCCTCTCACCCACCCTCCTGCAAAAGTGTGATCCCACACTCCCAATTCCTTCACCTCCGCCGCATCTGCTTCTGGGATAAAGTGTTCCAATCCCAGATGTCCTCCTTCTTCAAGGACCATAACCTCCCCTCTCCCATGATTCATAATGCCCTTAGCCACATCTCCTGCATTTCCCGCACTACTGCCCTCAAATCCCCTCCCCCCAACAGCAATAAGGATAGAGTCCCCCCGGAGCTCATATACCACTCTACCAATCTCCAAATCCACTGCATCATCCTCCACCCTTTTTGCCATCAGCAATCAGACCCCCTACCAAAGAGATATTTCCTTCCCTGCCCCTATCTGCTTTCCGTAGGGACCACTCACTCTCCGACTCCCTCATCTGGTCCACACTCCCCACCAACCCCACCACACTTGGCATCTTTCCCTGCAAACACATGAGGTGCTACACCTGCCCCTACACCTCCCTTTCACCTCTGTCCAAGGCCCCAAACAAGCATTTCAGATCCGACAGGAATTCACCTGTATGTCTTCTAACTTTGTCTATTGCATCTGTTGCTCCCGATGTGGTTTCCCCTTCATCAGAAAGATCAAGCGCAGAGTCGGTGACCGATTCATGGAGCATCTGTGCTCTGTATGCTATAATCAACACCACCTTCCCGTTGCCAGCCATAGCAACTCCCCCTCCCACTCTCTTGGTGATATGTCCATCCTGGGCCTCCTCTATTGTCACAATGATGCCACACATAAACTGGAGGAACAGCACCTTATATTCCACCTCAGGAGCTTACAGCCCAATGGCCTCAACATAGAATTCACCAGTTTCAAAATCTCCCCACCCCACCAGCCTCAATCCATGTCCAGCCCTCACTCTCGTCCACACCTCATTGACCTGACATAACCTGCCTTTCTTCTTTCCCATCTATCCGCTCCACCCTTCCCACTGACCAATCCCCACTACCCGCTACCTGCGTCCACCAATCATCATCCCATCTACCTTCACCCAGCTCTACCCCCTCCCTCTATTTATTTCTGAGTTCCCTTCCCCATCCCTAGTTGGATGAAGGGTCATCAACATCAACTTTCCTGCTGTTCAATGATGTCTGACCTGCTGTGCTCCTCCAGCTCCACATTTTATTGATATTAACTGTGGGAATCGGTTGGTTTGCAGTGTTTATTGGTAGCCAGCCTATCCCCCGAAATGGAAACAGGGATGTCGAAGAAAGGAAGGAAGGGAGGAGTCAGAAATGGACTGGGTGAAGGTGAGAGTTGGGTGGAAATTGGAAGCGAAATTGATAAACATTTCCAATTCCGGATGAGAGAGAGCGATATCTGGTATATTGATGATATCATCGGCGCTGCTGGCAACCAATTGAGTGACTGGCAGTTGTCCAGTCACAGCAGTGCCACTGGGAGATTGAAGAAGGCCAGGTTTAAAGGAGATTTGATGAGTTGTTTACAATCATCAGGGCTCTGGACTTGGTAGACAGGGAGAATGAAAGACATTCATATGATATATTTGACAAACATGCTGTACTTTTGTTCAGCATTTGCATGTTTCTTTAAGAAAGAAATTGGTTCCCTGAAACTACTTTGAAAAAAAAATAGAGATAAGTGCAATGTGATCTTTACTTAGGAACCACTTTAAAATTAAAAAATAAAGAGCTACAGGGGAACCCTGAGAGAGCCATGAGGTCACTGGATTCTTCTCGGCTGAGGCTGGGTGTTAAAAATTACCATAAGAATTCTGTCTTTTTGAGCTGTTAGCATGTTATTAATAACAATAATAATATGCCATGTTTCAAGAAAAAAATTAAAAATATCTAAGTATAAGACGTGCACTGTGTTCCTTTGGATTACAGACCACAATTTCGAAAGTTGAAGGAGGATGTTTGTAGACATGTCAGTCTTTGCTGGGAATTTTCAAATAGATCTCACAGTTCATCTTCAACATTGGAAAGATAGATAAATGTGGCTTCTAAGGAGTCAGTCAACAGCAGTTAGAGCAAATTTAAAATTCTCCATAAAAGTACTTCAATCAATGCCAAAGCGTTTAAGAAACAGAGATGTGTGCTAGCAGAGAAGGCAGTCCATTGGCACAAAGCATCCAGCATAAGCCACAGAATAAAACCAAACAAGAGCATTATTAAAATATTTACCTTAATTGATCATGGAGGCACTGCGTTAAGAAATATCTTAGCAGCAAGCATTGTTGACCCTTGACTACATTATTGCATTGCTAACATACTAAATTAATTCAGAAATCACTCAGTATTTTGGACAATACATACTTTCCCAATGGTTCCTCTGGATTTGCAAATACTAGCACATCGATGGGGAGAGTCAGCTTGAAGTGCCCACGTGACATCTTATTGTGCTGGACAACTATTTTTCCAAAGACACCAATCTTTGCCACATCAAATTGAATCTCCATGTTAATTACTTTCTGTAAGTTAAAAAGTTATTATACAAGGTTTATTACAATTATTATAAGTTATAAGGTTGCCAACATCTTAAATAGTCAATGAACGTAAGGTCAGCAAATAATGAACAAAGCACTCAGATGATCAAACTGGAAGCCCAGACCCTTAGTCTACAAAAGGATTTGGAATTTAGAGTCATGGAGCCATACTTGTCGTTGCCGTCGCCGTCCAGATTTCCTAAACTAAACCAGTCCCATTTGGCTTATATCCCTCTAGGAACCTGTCTAAATATCTTTTAAATGTTGTAATTATACACACCTCTACCACTCCCTCTGGCAGCTTGTCACCCTCTGTGTGAAAAAGTTGCCCCTGAGGTCCCTATTAAATCTTTCCTCTCTCACCTTAAACCTATGCCCTTTAGTTTTGGACTCCTCTACCCTGGGGAAAAGACCTTGGTTATTCATCTTATCTATGCCCCTCATGATTTTATAAACCTCTAGGGGGGATAAAAGTCCCAGCCTATCCAGCCTTTTCTTATAACTCAAACCTTCCAGTCTCAGTAGCAAGGTTGTAAATCTTTTTTGCACCCTTTCCAATTTAATGACATCCTTCCCGCAGCAAGCAAAGTTACTGGTGTTCTCCCCCACTACCAGACTGATGTCATCTAACAATATGGCAGAGCATATCTTTTCCCATTAGGCAAGAGAAAATATACAGTTAGTATTCTACTCTCGTGTCCCAACAAAGCAGTATAAATTGTAATCTGAGCAGATGTTGAAAAGATGACATTTCTTTGCTATTCCTTCCCGAATGAATCTGTGTTATTCTATTCACCGACAGTGGTACAAGTCAGCCTCTCTTGCGTTAACAGCACTGTGTGATGTTGCTAGCTGCCCCTAAAGAACTCTATTATTAATAAAGACAACTGACAAGCAAAATAGGGAAAATTTAACTGGAAGACCAAAGGCAGGCAATCAAGCTGGATTTCCAGGACAATTTGTAAAATTCTTCAAAGAGCATACATAAAATACAATTCTTTTCTGAAGTCTCCTAGCTTGGGGTCAAACTTTAGTCTGCAAATTGTTTTCCATGGGGAATATTGTACAATTTGGGAACTCTCATCCATGACATGTGACAATATCTCTTGGTAGCATCAGGAGCAAATCACTGACACTCTCCATGAACTGGCAGAATGAAGAATAGGGGAAGAAGGAGGAATTACCAAAGTGGAAATGGGATAAAGAGGCAAAATAGACTCATCCGGAAGTGCAGGCAGTTGGGGAAGACTGAATCCATGAATTTTGAAAGAAGGAAACAGCAAATAATAAAACACAACTTTTGAATTATCATTATGAATATGCAATTCAAAATATCCATTCTATTTATCATCAGAAATTAAGGAAATTCCTAACAACTTTTGACAGACCTTTCCAGGCATCATAATAAAGATCTGTGCTTCATTTAATTTGTAATTGTTCAAAATGGATTCTCAAGCCCCATCCTCATCTCCTACCTACCAGCCTCATCCCGCCTCCTTGACCTGTCCATCCTCCCTGGACTGACCTATCTCCTCCCTACCTCCCCACCTACACTCACCTTTACTGGTTCCATCCCCACCTCTTTGACCTGTCTGTCTCCTCTCCACCTATCTTCTCCTTTATCCATCTTCTATCCGCCTACCCCTCTCTCCCTATTTATTTCAGAAACCCCTTCCCCTCCCCCATTTCTGAAGAAGGGTCTAGGCCTCAAACGTCAGCCTTCCTGCTCCTCTGATGCTGCTTGGCCTGCTGTGTTCATCCAGCTCTACACCTTGTTATCGCGTGAATTGGAGTTTGTTTTCACAGCTCAAATGAAAACCAACTTATGTAGGGAAGATACTGAAATGATAAGTTAAAGAATATTTGGATTAAGATTAGTATTAAACTAAAGAAAACATAGAATCCGCACAGTGTGAAAACAGACCATTCATCCCGACAAGTCCACACCAACCCTCCAAAGAGCATCCCACTCAGACCTGTCCCTCTATTCGGAATACTGCATTTCCCATGGCTAACACACCTAACCTACACAGCCCTGAATGCTATGGGTAATTTAGCATAATCTGCACATCTTTGAACTGTGGGAGGAAACTGGAGCACCCAACAGAAACCCCGTAGACGTGGAGAGAATGTGCAAACTCCACACAAACAGTCGTAAAAGGCTGGAATTGAATCCGGGTCCCTGAATCTGTGAGGCAGCAGTGCTAACCACTGAGCCACTAACCAGTGAACTGCGAGACTTACGTGTGCTCAATGTGAAACAAATACCGAAAGCTTGCAAAGCCCCCAGTCGGCCTAATAAATAAAAGTGACAATGAATTGGATGCACTGATCTGTACAGTTAGTGTTGCAGCCTAAGCTTATGACTTTGCAATGTTTTTCAATGCCAGTAATATATTGCATGTTGATAGTCTAGTTGCTGTTCCTTTACATCATTAAATATAGTGCCTCATCACAAATACTTGTCAAAGAAAAATTTTCCTTAAATTCAAAAGTTATAAAATCTACATGCCTACCAGAGGGGTAACGTTTAACAATTTCTTTTGGGAAGCCTTTTGAAGTAAGTCACTGACCTCAGGCCTGAAACAAAAATTATAAACTGATAAGGTAGGGCAGAAATAGAGTCTAACACTTCATGTTCTGGTATCTGGTGCCAATATTGACATCATGAATTAAACAAGACAGACCCAGAATTAATGGAACTACTTCACTTCTATCCATACAAAAGATACGAGAAAGATATGAAACTCCAGATTTCTTTCTTGTTCACTCCATCAGAATGAACATATCCCACACATTGGACTAGTGCACTACCTGGGTGCAGGTTGCATGGGCATAGATCTAATTTTCTCAACATCAAAGAGTTGTTTTGATGACCTAATACTGTATGGAGAGACTGAATTTACCATATATATAGCATGTTCTACAAAATTCTTGTAACAGGGTTAGACAAGTTTGAAGCTAGTGCGATGCTTTATCAGAACTTCAACGCTCAGGCATGGTATTGAACATAACAAAGAACAAATGAAATTGGGTTTGTATTTACCTTCCTACTTTACAATAGTGATGACCTGACTGCATTTTAAATAGCTTTCAATGGCTATAAAATGGGATAATTAAGGTTGTGAAAGTAATTATATAAATTCATGGAGTCATAGAGTTGTACAGCATGGAACCAGACCCTTCAATCCAACTTGTCCATGCTGACCAGATATCCTAAATTGATCTAGTCCCATTTGCCAGCATCTGGCCTGTATCCCTGTGAACCCTTCCTATTCGTATACCCATCCAGATGCCTTTTAAATGTTGTAATTGGACCCACCTCTACCACTTCCTCTGGCACATCATTCCATTCACGCACCACCCTCTGCATGAAAAAGTTGCCCCTTTTATATCTTACCCCTCTCAGCTTAAACCTATCACTGTAGTTTCAGACTCCCCTTGCCTGAGAAAAAGACCTTAGCTATTTACCCCATGCCTGTCATGATTTTATAGACCTCTATAAGTTCACCCCTCAACCTCTGACACTTGAGGGAAAAAAACCCCAGGCCATTCAACCTCTCCCTCTAGCTCAAATCCTTTAACCCTGGCAACATCTTTGTAATCTCTTCTGTACCCTTTCAAGTATAACACCATCTTTCCTCTAGCAGTATTCCAAAAGTGGTCTGACCAATGTCCTGTAGAGCTGCAACATGACATCCTAACTCCTGTACTGAACACACTGACCAATAAAAGCAAGTGTACCAAAAGTCTTCTTCACTACCCTGTCTACCTGTGACATAAATGGAAGTCTTTGATTAAAAACAATTGACATATGCCAGTAACTTTCATAAAGAGCAAGAAATTGGAGGCAATAATTATTAAACAAACAGTTAAATACTGCAAGGCTCATAGCTTTTTTAACAAGTTATTTCATGTGTTGTGGGCATCGCTGGTGAGGACAGCATTTATTGTCCTTAATTGCCCAGAGGGTAATCAAACATATTGCTCTGACTCAGGAGCTACATGCAGACCAGGTAAGGTGGCAGATTTCCTTCCCTAAAGGACGTTATTGAATGAGATGGATTTTTTTGACAATCAACAATGGATTCATATTGACATTAGGACAGCTTTTTAGTCTAGACTTCTTTTGAATTCAAATTTTGCCCATCTGCTGTAACAGGATTTGAACCCCTGTCCCCAGAACATTAGCTTGGGATTCTGGATTACTTGAACAGGTGACATTACTGCTACACCAATACCTCCCAACCTATGCCTTCACCTATAATGATAACATGGACTTTTACAAATATATTTTTTGAACCACTCAGGAGACGATGAAGGAAGTAAAGAGTTCAAGTGCGATGTACCACCAACTAAATAACAACAAATAGGTCAAAGTTAATTTTACCCTTTGTTAAGAATCCTACAGTTGGATTGTCTATATTTGTGATGAATACCTTATTATAGAGTTTCTGATTTTTGAAGGGAATTTGGATTATGGAAAAATGGGTATAGTGCAGTTCCTTTACCTCTGAAACATCGGACAGAATTTTGTGGAGAGATCTTAATTACTGGTGTATAGCCAGTGAGGCCTTCACTTTTTGGTAAACTCCATTACCTCTTGTACCACTCAGGCACTTAACAGGCCAATGGCAGGCCTTCCTCTAAACAGAACTTCTGGCTTCCAACAGCTCTAGCCAATCAGAAGCCAACAGAAATTTTTATACTAAAAATACCGCAAAGTTTGTGATGGTTGCTGTTGGTACCTCACTAACCTGAGTCCTCAGATTGAGGAAAGACTTGGACACAGGCGAATGTTAGTACGAAGAGTGTTGTAGGGTGTGGGGACATAGGGGAGATGGGGGAGAGGGATTGGCAGGAATGGCAGGGGATTGGTACTCAATGCCCCTTCTACCTTCTCATTG